TGCGTGAGGGCAGCCGTCGCGTAAGTTCGTTTTATTGCTGGTACAAATGGTGTAAAACGGATAATCGATTTAATAAATTTTTAAAATTAAGTTCGAATGCCAAAACATATCGCCCCTCTACCGCCCAAAACATGCCCACTGCCCCCCTACCGCCCAAAACAAGTTCACCGCCCCTCAGCATCCTCCCACTGCCCCCCGGGTGGCGGTACCGCCCCCGTTGAGAACCAATGTGTTAGAAGAAGGAATAGAAGGAGAAAAAAAATATCATCATCTTGTCCTGAATGAATTATTCAAATACATTTTAGCTGCTTTAAAGATATCTCCTTGCACAATCCCCATTGTGGGCTCTAGAAATATAGTAAACTTTGACCCTGCTTCCCTATATCGTCCCTAATGGTTTATTATTCTGTGGGTATTTGCTATCATACTTACTTTCCAAAATTCATTCTGATAGACGAAAAGAAACAGAAAGAAAAAATAAACCTATGTAAGTAAAGTAATGCTGACTTTACTGAGTGAAGAACAGTTTTAGACAGTAATGATAGGAAGAACTGAACGAACTGTTTATCCTAGTTAGTTTGTTGTTCATCAGAAGGCAAGCCAATTTGGCTAGTACTGTGACACAAGCGTACTAGCCCATGATAGTGATAACATTCTATTTGCCAAGATTATCCCACCTTGGTTGTGCTAGGGGATAGTAGGACTTTGCTGAAGATCTTAAGGGCAATATAAAGTGCGCTTTGATAAGAACTGTGATCCTGGTGATTTCTTGTTCATATCCATCTAGTTTTCTTCACTATCCTTGTTTTGGATTTTTTTTTCCCAACTTCCCTACCTAGTATACAGTTCTGGTATGCTTGGCAGCATTCGATTGAAATACTAAGAATGTCTGACCCTGTTTTGCCTCCAAAGAAGATCAGATACCTGGTGAGACAAAATATTTTTTGGCATAAAGGTCAGATCTCAAAGACTGCCTAGTCAAAGACAACTTTCCCAAGAGATGTGATGGGAATGCCATTGAACATTCAGCTGATTAAATACCTGGCAGGATGCCTTCAGTATAATTTAAAAGATTCAAAACAGTAAGATGTTTTTAAATAAGCCAGGGGAATCCAAGGGACTCCCTTTCTCCATTTCCTGGATTTCTTTTTACTTTATCTAAGGTAACAGCCACTTTCTTTTCTTCCCCTTCTGCTTTGCATTTACAGCCTCAAGACTTTCTCTTTTTTCCCTTTGTATAATTATAGAAATCGCCATGGGATGTGACATCAAATTAAAAAGTCTCCCTTCCATCCTTAGCTGTGAACTTACTGTACATAACCTATCCCAACTAATAAATAGAAATTACATTACAAGTAAAAACATTTTTTAACTGTTTCTTTTTTTCTCCCATTTAGATCCATTGCTTTCTTAGACATGTATCGTTTAATGACACCAGTGGAGGAATTCTTTCTTTTGACCAAAATGGCGAATTAGTAGGAGGGTTTGATATCATCAACTGGGTCACATTCCCAAATCAGTCCTTTCTCAGAGTCAAAATTGGAAGGATAGAGCCACAGGCACCCTTAGAGCAACTGTTGACTATTTCTGAAAAGAACATTGTCTGGCCAACCCAGTTTGGACAGGTAGAATCCATGTCATTTCAATATCTCTTTATTTTCTTATCCAAAATTCAAAGAGCTTCAATGTTCATATCACAAAAGAGTATTGTTTTCTACTTGTTCATTTGTTAAACAAGCCTCTCGCATTTTTTCTATGACTGTGAATTAGAATTGTTTTCCCCAAGTATTCTCCTGTAGGAATTCTTCTCCTACATCTTGGATTATTAGTTTTTTCTTGTTAGAACTCATCTCAACAGTAACAGACTTTCAGTCTTCCTTTAGAAAGTATTTGTCACAATGGTGAATAGCTTAAGAATTCTGACAGTAACCATTACTACAATTTTGGAACCATTGACATCTACTTGCATATCACTTAAGAATACAGAGGGCTCAATTCCTTCTCCATCTATCCTCCTCCTTAGCTTATTGGTGTCTTGTATTCAGGAGTCTACATTAACAATATGCCTGAAAGAAAAGTGGGGTATGTTGTGGCCTATGGCCACATTAATAAAGATTTGGATGGGAGATGTTTCTCTCCATAATGATCAATGAAATAGAAGATTCTTCTTACATTCCCTGAAAGTACCCTCAGTATGACTGAGGATTCAGGAAAATGTTAACCATTAATGGAAGACCTCACTGCCTAACATTATCCTGAATTTTTCTAGAGCCCTCACTCTAGAGATAGGAGGGAGGATGGTGCTTCCAGATTCCAACTCCATTGTAAACATGTAAGCTGCATGTGTAGAGGGTAACATGTGTGGTGGGTCTACCTTGCTTTGGTCTACTGTGAGAAAATCTTGGAATCTTCTTCATTCCTTGTAAATTCTGACTGAGCCCTTTTCTTATTTTATGCATGAGAAATCAAATGTTTCTTCCATTAATGGACAGACACAGCCCCTTTCATTGTGCAATGGGAAATGCCATTCAGGTTATAGAAAAAGCAAGAAAGAGGACAAGCCATTTTGCTGCTATGATTGTATTCCATGTTCAGAAGGGAAGTTCTCAAACCAGACAGGTAAGAAACTATATAAATATATGGGGAAATATATGGTGGTCTGCATTTTCACATGCTGTACTTAATAAGCAGTCACTTGTGGTGAAATTTCCTCCAGCTGACAAAGTAACATTAGTGCTAGAAATGAAGGTTTGCATATAGAAAATCAGACTTTCTACTCTGTTGCTCAGAAAGGCAATCATTGCATTTAGTATTCTGCTCCTTTGAAGATAAGAACTATTAGTACTTATTTTTACTATTATAGTTTTTAACTCACTATCTTAGAAAGACCTTGACAAAAATAAGAACAAATATTGTGAATTAGCCTTCCATAGATCAGTAATGAAGAACAGCATATCCAGAATAAATGGAGGCATGGCTATATAAAACTGTACCTTCCTTATGGATGTCCCTTTAAGCCAAATTTAGTCTCAGTTTTCATGGAAGACAGTAAGATAACTATTACTTTCCACCAATTTGTGATTAAAAATACAAACTTCACCGGATTGTGTAACTAAATGCACTTTTCCATGCAAGACATTTCTATGAATTCTTCTCTAAAATGTTCTGGTTTTGCAAGAACATTTAACAAATGTTAAAGAAAATTGTACTGTATGGTATTATGGAGAAGCAAAAACAGATGGAAATGCCATAAACATCCTCTCAATTGTCTATATGGAGAAATATGAAGAAATGTCAAGGATATTTTGATTTAATATATCCACTTGTTTTTCCAGACATGGATGATTGTTTTCTGTGTCCACATGATCATTATCCAAACAAAGACCATGATTCATGCATTCCCAAATATATAAGTTACCTATCTTATGAAGAAAACTTGGGCATTGCCCTGAGCACAGTGGCTTTTGTGCTTTCCTTCAGCACAATTTCTGTACTAGGAATCTTCATGAAGTACCACAACACTCCCATTGTGAAGGCCAACAACCGCAGCCTCTCCTACACCTTGCTCTTCTCCCTCCTCTTCTCCTTCCTTTGTTCTCTGCTTTTCATTGGACAACCCACAAAAGTGGCATGCCTCCTTCAACAGACTGCTTTTGGAATCATCTTCTCAGTGGCTGTTTCTTGCATGTTGGCTAAAACCATTACTGTGGTTCTAGCTTTCATAGCCACCATGCCAGGATCAAGAATGAGGAAATGGGTTGGAAAACAACTAGCTCTTTCCATTGTCTTCTTCTGCTCCCTTATTCAAACTATCCTTTGTGTGGTCTGGCTATCCATCTCTCCCCCTTTCCCAAACATTGACATGAATTCTCTAAACAGTGAAATCATTTTGGAATGTAATGAAGGATCTGTTGTAATGTTTTATTGCATCTTGAGCTTCATGGGCTTCCTGGCTGTTGTTAGTTTTGTTGTAGCTTTCCTAGCCAGGAAACTGCCAGACACTTTCCAGGAAACCAAATCCATCACCTTCAGCATGCTGGTCTTTTGCAGTGTCTGGTTGTCTTTTGTTCCTGCCTACATGAGCAGCAAAGGAAAATACATGGTGGCCGTGGAGATCTTTGCCATCCTGGCCTCCAGTGGGGGCCTACTGGGTTGTGTCTTTTTCCCTAAATGCTATATCATTGTGTTGAGACCCGATCTGAATAAAAAGGAGCATCTGATAAAAGGAATCAAGTAAATGGCATTGTTCATTTGACTATTTTGCCTCCTAAATATTCTGTAATGTCGCTATCTGCCACTACTATGAGACAATGTAAGGAAGACATTCTCCAATAACATATTTAAAAAGTACCTTAATGTGGAATTACTCAGTGTATATGAGTCTTTTCAAGAGTGGAAGAGTACAGTAATCAGGAGTAAAGTGACTATTGGAATGAGATAAGAGAAATAGGAGTATTTGGGAGAAAATATTATTATTTTTGCAGACTCAGATTTTTGGATGTATGACATGAAGCAGTCAAATCAGGTATAGGATCCAGAGTTCATCATGACAAAGAAAAGCAGAGTATCTGTACAAAGGATGTACAGTTCTTTCAGGAAATAAACTAGATCACTTGACTTACTACTGTTCTGATTGTGGATGATTCTGGGTTTGCTCAGTTATGCTGAAACAAATGATTGTTTTCCCCATATTTTCTACATTCCTTTTTGTGGTTGCTCAGATACAATCCTAATCTGTCCAGTCTTCAGCAACCCTCTTCAGATTGTACCTCATTCCTGGAAAACTTTGATATAATCTCTGAGTCCTAAAGTTTGATGGAGCTATTGTAGGGACAAGGTCCGCCTTCCTGCTCAGTATAGGAATCCAAATTAAGTATCCCAGAAAGATAGTTCTCCAGCCTCCACTTGAAGTCATCCAGTAGAGAAAAGGAACAACATAAAAAGCCATTTTTAGATATATATGGACATCATTGTCACTGCTGACTGCACTCCATGTGCAAAGGTCTCAGAAATTATGGATCAGAGATGTTCTAGATTTAAGCAAGAAAGAAGTTAATATCAAATAAACTGCTATCACACCTACAGTATATACCAAAAGTTTTCTTTCCTTTCTAAACTCTAAAAGGCTGCTAGTAATATTATGATAATTTATTATTTTGTTTACTATGAGACCAGAAAAAATAAATATTTTAACCAGTGAATGTTTTGGGAATTTTATTAGGAAATGTTCATTCTGTCTTGTACTATTTTTTCATCTCACTGAGGATGGTCATGAACCAAAAAATGCATGTATAAATAAAACTGAACTCAGTGTCTGTATATATGTGTGTGTGTGTGTACTTTTTGTATATACACAAAATAAAATATATGTATAAAAGTATCAGATACAAAAACAAAAAAGTAAAGAAAAAGAAAACACCAACATATACTTTTAAAATCTAATATTACAGTACATTTAAATGGATATGCAGTTTTTAAACATGCAATTACTTAATTATTTTATTCTGTCCTATAAAATTATTTATGATTTTTAAAAGAACTCATAAAAATATCTTTTTTTAAGTGTAAAATTTGCCTTGTTCTCAGTTTGAAACATAATAACACTCAAAATGTTCCCTAGAAGAAATGACTATAAATTGTTTACCACAATTTGGATGAAAGGATGAAAATAATTTTACAGGATTTTACTCATGAAGATCAATGTGGGTTTCTACCTAAAAGACAATTATGAGATAATATTAGAAATGTCTTGGGTATTCTGGAATATTTCAAGCAACATAATGAAAAACAATCTGCATTGATCTGTTAGACACGGAAAAGGCTTTTGACAATCTGAATTGGATTTTCTTGTTTAGAATTCTGGAACATATGAACATTGGAGATAAGTTTATTAAATGGATATGATCAATTCATACTTCACAGAAAGCACAAATAACTGTTAATGGAGAGCTAACAAAATCTTATAAGATTCAAAAAGGGACAAAACAAGGATGTCTGCTATCTCCACTCTTATTTTAGTTCTTGAGCTACTAAATAGAGACATAAGACAAGATGAGAGAATTGCAGGAGTTTAAAAGAAATGTATAAGTTAAAGGCATTTGCGGATGACCTAGTGTTAGTTTTGGAAAATCTGCTAGAGGGAATAGAAGCATTAATGGGAAAATTAAGGGACTTTGGTAGGTTAGCAGGTTTTAAGTTGAATAATCAGAAGATGAAGATGCTAACAAAAATATAAAAATTCTCCATTATGATGGAGAAAACTGGTTTTAAGATTGAGAAAAAAGTAAAATACTTGGGCATTATTATGGCAAATAGGAATTGTACGCTATTTCAAAATAATTATGTTAAGATATGGAATGAAATTAAGAAAGACATATTAAGATAGGAGACATTAAACTTGTCTGACAGATGCTGGACAAATTATTCCATATGCCATTATAGGGGGTTCTCTG